TTTTTTATGAATAGATATTTATCTTCATGATCTATGCATAAAATATTTTAGCAAATATGATCTACATGATCTTTGTAATTCTAGTGGGTTTAATTACCTTCAAGGTAGATTTACTCAAATTGCTCCCCCTCATAAAACCATCCTTTAAACTTTATTGTTCAGTCCACACTTTTTCATAAATATGTGCTTAATAATGGTATGCAGTACCATAATACCAAAATATTAGCTTACCATTCTTCAATGAATTATAATATGAGTAAATAAGAGCAATATGCTTCATGCATAAATAACCACTTATTAGTTGTGCAAAACAAATAAAATTTATCCCTCAGGTAATAATTTGTTTCAAAGTTTTATGGGATAAATAAGTTACAATATTCAATATCTTCTAGATAGTGGATCAAACTTATACTAGAGTTTGACTATTTATAACTCTTCCTTAGTGGATTTTTAAATTATATGTTCTTCAAATCTTCAGGATTTTAATTGTACCACTAAATAATAAATCAAGTCTTACATTTGGTATTTAGGGGATAATTCAATTGTCAAAATCAACATTATTCTTGTACCTTCTATGATATTTAGAGGATGCCAACACTTCATTGCTAGCTTTACATTACACACCTTCTGAGTGTTTGTATGACACCTTCATGGTGTTTAGGATTCCTTATTTTTATTCTTGGGTCTACATGCACTTCAGGGATTACTAGTGTTTATTCAAGAATCGACTGGTAAATTCTTCAAGGATGTTCTCATTCTTAGTGAATAATATTTCTCTTCTATGAGATATATTCTCTATTACATGAGGGATTATTATGTGATATACACAATGAGATAGTGTTATTCACTACAAAGTCATTCGATGACTATTCTTTCAAGGGCATGCGCTTCTTAAGACTTTAATATTCATTCAGGAATATATATTATATTTTAGACTTCTTAATACTTGGTATGAGATTTAATTTCGATATATTGTAATTATATTCTTCATGAACTATATGGATCTTCATAATCCATTTAACTGCATATTTCATATTCGTTCATTTCATTTGCCAGAGACATAGTAGAGCGTTTATTTCTTCTTAAAAGGAGATTCAACCTCTATTGCTTTCTTCATTGACCCGATATAATCGCTACAAGCGACTTTGCCATAGACTTTGTTTTCTGGATCCGGGTTCTCATAGGAGAAACATTTGTAATTATAGAGGTAACGTTGTCGGCAACTATTATTTTCTTCTAATATTCTCACAATATGAGATTATTCTACCTCTTTGTCATTTCCCAAACAAAAGATAATTTATTGTTATGCGTACCCAACACTTGGTTAGTACATTTTCCTCTTCGTCTCTCATGATCAACATAGTAGATGAAAGTAGAACACATAGACACACGAGATAGGGAGACTATTCTTTATTTCTCTGAATATTGGTGATTACAACATAGAGCTCCCACATATATATAGTTCTGCCAAGGCCTAAGAGTTTGATAAGAACCCATATACAAACGAACTAGGATTATGATTGTACCATCTCCTTTCCTTCTAAGATAGAGTCCGTATGTTTTACAACAAACTCCACGTCATGCTGCTGCCATGACAAAATACATGTACCTTGAACCGTATACCACACAATAAACAACATTATGCATTGTAAAGTCTTGTTTGATGGAGCTCTATCTGATTCTGATTCTCTACAGAAGCTGTGAGAGAAGTGATTCTGTAGCTAAAAATAATTCCTTTTGATTCTATAGCATAAACTCTCAAAATCACAATGGAGAATCAGTTGAAGAATCAGAAGAAGCTACTTTTTCCAGTTCCAAGCATCTTAGTTCGTTTCAATGAATCACTTCACAAAATTAGCAGAGAATCACTTCTCTCTGAGAGCTCTACTAAACCGGGCTTAATGTGTGGTTTGCAACTTGATGTACTCAACTAATACATGGTCACAAGGTGTTGTACGGTAGACACAATTTACTCTATGTGCTTAACTGATCAACGATTGGCCAACAACGTTAATGTTATATAGCTAACCGGAATAAATTATCATAATTAAATTTATGATGCTGTGAATTGCAAGTATCTGAATAATCATGCTGCTTGACTCGTTAAATTAAAAGATAAAAAGGTAGATTGAACTATATGTTGTCCAAGATGAGCTCTGTGGATTGAGTCCTAGTTTTGTTATCTGTACAGGCCAGCAGCTTCGTTCACTCGTCCTGGACCTTCGCTTGGATCGCGACCATTGCTTGGGCCGGAAAGACCGAAGCATAGGCCAACCCCACCGCCGGCTTGATGATGACCAACATTTGCTGAGCCACACAAGTCGGGCCGCTCTAGGCCATCGCACCGATAAACATCGAACGTGAGCAAAGAAAATTTATACCTCCCTTAACAGCGACGGTCATCCATTTTTCCTTCCTAAAACTACAAAACCAGTTTTTTTTTACCTACTAAACTTTTAAAATCGTTTGTTTTTCAGCTTAGATGGTTTTGATGGTGGTATGATGTGAAGCCATGTTAGAAAGGGTAAATCAGATAAGGTAAAAGTTCAGGAGGTAAATTGAACTAAAAATATTATTAAAAGGACATACAAAAAATCATAAAATTAGTTTTCAAAAATTTATCCAAATATTTTTACATGGAAAAATAATACAATTACAAATCCTAAAATCTGGTTTAATCTTAGAAAATCCATACAAAATTTATTTTACATCGAAAAATTATGAAACTAGTTTCACATTTTTTTTTCTAAAATTATGCTCTATCTTATGGTGGCTAGCTTGAAATTGTTTGAATCTCAATAGACACATTTTGGTGCTTGTTTACTAGTAGAAGCTCTTGACGACGTTCCACCGGCGCTTCTACGTAGTCAGACAATCAACATTGACTTATTATAATAGATAATAAAAAATTCTACTATCAAACTTCCTCTGGCTATTTCAGCCTTACTGCAACAATACTCTGAAGTATTTCAGGAGCCCACTACACTCCCTCCTCACCGTAAGCTTCAAAATGAGCCCATGAAGATTCAACAAATTTCAGCTAGGCACCATAAGATAGCGTATGGTTTTGGAAAAGACAAACTTGAAAGTAGTTTCATAAATTTTTGAGGTAAAACGAGTTTTTTAAGATTAAACCGGATTTTTGGATTTTTAATTGCATTATTTTTCAAGCAAAAATATTTGAATTATTTTTTTGAAAACGTATGTTTTAGATTTTTGGATATTTTTTTTTAAATATTTCTAGTCCGATTACCTCCTTAAACGTTTAGCTTAGTCTGATTTACCACCTCTAATGTGGCGTCATATCAGCAAAACCACTATGAAAACCACCACAGGTGCAAAAACAAACGATTTTAAAAGTTAAGGGAGGTAAAAAAACAGGTTTTGTAGTTCAACGAGAAAAATCGGATGACTATGATAGTTGTGGGAGGTAAATTAGACTTCTTCTACAGAGAAATCCCGAGAGAGTTGCTTCTCTATTGTTGATGGAGTGAAAGAAAAAATTATCGCTGAAAAGTCTGTATGTGGACGAGTCATAACCTACTATAATAACTAGATCTAATTCATTGAATATAAGAAAGAGCTCCACCTACACCTGTGTCTCTGATGTGTTATTCTCGATTTCTCTTATGTTGTGTTGATCGAGGATGACGGAGAAGACAACGTCCTAACCACTAGGAACGTGTAGTTCACGATATGTTATTAACACGAGTCTTTACCACCGAGCAATGTCATTATCTTCTCGAAGAGACCAGCGCCCGGACGTTTAGACACCGCGTTTGTCCGTCCGCCCATTTTTATGTCCTCAGGGTGTCTATGGATATAGCTTCGTGCTCCACTTTGCCTCGTGCTCCACGCCTGTTGCCTGTACATGGATGCAGCTCCGTGCTCCGCTTCGCCTCGTGCTTCACGCTTGCGCCTGCCCATGGATGCAACTTCGTGCTTTGTGCCTGCTGCCATGCCCATGGATACAGCTCTGTGCTCCCCACCTACTACCGCGGCCGCTTCACTCCCCACGCGCACATAGGGACCGCTGCATCTGAGGGGACCACCTTAGCCTACTTGCCACGTCTGCTCATGAAACACTTGCAATATAAAGCATTTGCTGTAAAATACGTCCGAAACAAATAAAACATTTACATACGCTTGCAACATATGTGTATGGGCACTGCAACATATGCTACATCCAGACAAAACACTTGAAACATACGTTTGAAATGGCTGAAACATGTGAAACATACACATGCAACATACGTGTATAGCCAGTGCAACATATGCAACATTTAGATAAAACACTTGCAACATATATTTGAAACAGCTAAAATATTTGCAACATACGTGTATAGTCATTGCAACATATGCAATATTAGATCTACTTTTGCAACATCCTGATAAAACTTAACATATGCAACATACATCTAAAACGTATGAAACATACGGGTGCAACATGTGCTCATCTACTTGATGCCCCTAATGGACACTCGTTAACGCGGAGCTTGACGCCGGTACGGAGCTCGATGCCACGACGCGGAGGTCGGACCTCGGTTGTGCGCAGCGTGAGTCCAGGCGGGAGACGCAAGGTGCGGGCGACGTGAGGCAAAAGGCACGGGTGGGGGCGCGAGGCACTGAGGCGTGAGGGCAGGTGGGTTCATCCCATCCGGCCAGACAAACGTTCGGTAGAGAGCATTACCCTTATCTTGTCCGCTGTGTCTAGTCTCGAAGATCAACATTGAACTCAGCGTGAGCAAAAAGCCTTCCTTTGCACGGTTACCAGCGGCAAAAAGCCTTCCTACACTACACGATCTGCCTTCATCACGCTGCTATGAACACCTCTCGCGTATCCAATCGCAGCTGCCCTGTGCGGCTGTGCCCCATGGCTGACCGACCACCGCCTGCATGTGGTGCTCTATACAGGGACTGGCACATAACCGGGGCGCCACAGAGGCTAAGAGCAAGTAGCCGGGGAATTACAACGTGTTTAACCAGTCCATAATCGAGACATGGAGATCTTCCTTGATCCTGTGAAGGTGAACCATAACCTTTCTCTTAAAAAAGTAGGTTTCCACGAAGAAACATAGGCAGCTTGTTGTCAACTATTTGATACATTTGATTTTGCAAGGTTTTTTTATACCGTGTTTGTTTTTACCATTACATCTTTGGCGTATACTTTTAGAATTCTTCAAATGTAAGAGATTTTGCAAGTATTTGAACACAATGCACATATAACTTGCACATAATTTTGAAACCAAATAATTAGTAGTTATTGATGTTTTTAGTTTTCAAGGTTTAACTAAATCTTGTCCCAAACGAGAAGTTGTTATGAATTATGACCGGATGGAGTATTTATTATCTAAATGAAATGAGCTCTTTTACAGTGGTTGGGGATACTTCTTGGTTTCTATGGGTTCCTAAGCAAGTTATTAGCTCTAAGTAATTTGATGAGTGAAAGGTTAGTATGGTAATTGCAGCTCTCCTCTCCCCCTGCCACCCCTCCCCACGCACGTCCGAAGGACGCGAGCAGGCCCCTGGACGCGAGGTTGCCCTGCCCTCGGCCCTAGCCTCGCCCGCCACGCCCTTGCCCTCGCCATCGCGAGGTGCCGGCGTCGCCGCCCTGCCCTCGCCAGCACCCGTCGCTCCTCCCTCCTCCCCCTGGCACCCCTCGCCCACGCGTACCCAAACCTGAACCCCATCACGGCGACGCCAAAGGACGCGAGGCTGCACAAGCCCTAGCCGCCGGCGGCTTGTCCTCGCCCACACCCGTCGCTCCTCCCCGCCGCCCCCGCCTGACGCGAGCGGCCCCTGCAGAGAGTTCCCACTGCCAACATCCTCTCCTCGCTGCTCATCGGCCTCGTCCTCGTTGTCCTATACGTGCTGCATAAGGCCGAGGACAACGCCGATGTCGAGGTCGACCGCTGGCACACGCCGGTGTCACGGCACTATCGCACTAGGTGTGAGATACTTCCTCTCCCTGATTGTCATGGTTACTGCTAGTGCTTCCTGCCGTGTTCCTGTCAGTTGTCATGCTGTTGCACGAGCACAAATGCTGTTGCCCGTTGTGAATTCCCCAAAGTGATGATTGATAAGTAGCTGTCTTTCGAACATGGATGTTTGCTAATGAAGAAGATATAGGTTTTATCTGCTTGGAGCTGCACTAAGATTCTGTATAATTAATGGCGAGATGGGTTTTCTTTGTTAAGATTAAACTGACCAATTCCTGCTTGGCATTGAGAATTTTCTGATTGACTTGCTGTTTTGGTGGTTACTACAGTCCAATATAATAGTTCTCTCTTGACAGTACTCATTGCAAATTTCTTATTTTATATCATTTGAACGCTGCGTGCCTTAGAGTGATCCTGAATCGTGATGCGAAAAATATGACTTGATGCGGCACTGCTGAAAATCTCTTGACAGTCCTCAATGCTGCATATATCTTTTTAGTGAATGCATGCCTTTTCCTTTTGGGTACTAAATACTAGTAGTTTTGCTCTGATGGTCCTCTTTTCAATAGTTGCACGTATCTCAAAAGCACGTGGGTAATTAATTAAAATTACTTACGTTTGGATCTAGACTCGGGCTGACCCTAGCCTGTTCGTCTGGGCTTATACGATCGTATACGATCATGGATTATAAACTGGAATAGTATTTTTCTTTTATATCAAACCAGCCAAACCAGTCAGCAGTAAATAATTCATAGTCGTTTACCACGAAACCAACAGGAACTGGAGAGGTGACCAACTCGGAGTCCAACACCCCAGCCCAGCGATCTGTGTACACACTCACGCACATCACTGCTATCTCCCTTCCTTCATTTCTCGTTCGAACAGGAACTGGAGAGGTGGTCGGCGGCGGCGGCGGCAGCCATCGGCATCCCGGCCGGTTTGCCTTCCTCAGCTTGCATCCCCCGCTCTGGCGCTGGTATGTAGTGTGGGCGGACGGCGGCGGCAGCGCAGCGGCGGGGACGGCTGCGGCAAACAGCGGTGGACTTGGGGCACGGGGCCGGCGGCAGACGCGACGGGATTTGCGCCGATCTGCTTGGGCATCCCCCGCTCTATGCTGGTCTTGTAGTGCGGGCGGTGGCAGCGGCGTTGTACGGTGACGGCGGCGGCGGACTGGGCGGACGGCGGCGGCGGCGGCATAAGCGACGGGTGACGATCATTTAATCACTCTGCGTGGTGGCCACAGCCTCCGCCGCCTCTCAATTTTCAAGAGATCCGGTGAGCCACACACATCTCGAATCTTGGTCACATTGCAGGGATGGTTCACGTTCATTTCCTGGAGGCAACATTGATGTGAATTTCTAAATTAGGATCAGATCAGAAATCCCGCGTAATTGATACTCATGTGCTGGGACTGGGATAGGCTTAAATTTTGAACTACTCGCTTAAAATTTAGAACCAAATTTTATAGGATCAACCCCTCTGGCTTTAGCAGCTTCTCTGTGGGAAAGGAATTTGTCTAGAAACGCTTCAACTTTTGTTAATCTCTTGTAAAATCAAAGGGGAGATGGAAAGATCCTGTTCGAATATCTTTTTCTTTCCTTTAGGTTGTCTGTTGCCTTGCCTTTCCTACATAATATGCTACCTGCACTCATCCGGATTTTTTTTCACTGCTCCAGCATGATGAGCGAAGATGAGGCATGAGGTCCTCTACGTTCCTTCTCGAGGCTAGATGTACCAGACCCTTGTTTTCATCGATGGTGATCCACAAAGGCCTGATCTGGTGCCTGCCGCAGAAGAGCAAGCCAAGTCCGACGAGGTCCGGTGGTGGTGGCGTACTGGCATACATCACGGTAAGCAATGTAGTTATGTCTATTTTTGCTTGTTCATGGTGAAAGCAAGTGCGGGGCGTCAGCAGTGGACGTTGGCGCGATGGGTGCTCAAGCGGCGGGTCACCCGGTCGTGTTGTACAACCCCTGTTGGGGGAGATTAGCCAAGAGACCGTCGAGCTGAATCGAGTTGAAATAACCTCCCGTGCTCTGTCCCACTACTTCGTTTTGGGTCCTCTGTTCTTTCGAATTAGCACTAGATTATGCACTTTTTATTGCAATTCAGTTAACTCCAATTCTTGATGTGTTAGTCAATGAGTACTTCTCTATGCTCTTCCGTCCATTAACCCTGTTCGCTTGACCGTTTCTATGGCTTATAAGCCGGCTGATGTTGTTTTTGTTGTGAGAGAAAAATATTGTATCATGACTGATAAGCATGGCTGATACGATCAAGCGAACAGGGTGGCGACGGCGTTCCCAACAATTCTTGAGTTTTGCTTGAAATGTGACGTGAACTGCAGCCAGGGCTCATAATGGATAACATAGGTGAAGATGAACATGAGGAAGAATTGGACTTCCATCTTGGGGCTGCTGATGATAGCAGTTCGGATGATGAAAACACGTTGTCGAATTCAAGTTTATCATCAATGGGAAAGGATATTGGTGGTGATGCACAAAGAGATGCACCGGTAAATTATCCATATGACTTCCTATTTATTTGATCAATATTGTGGGTTTGTGGGAGCTAGTTTGTGACGGTGTTTCATATGTCCATACTGATGAAACAAAACATTTGCGTCTGCAGGGAGATGGCAACTGTGCTTATGAACAGGATATATTTACGAGAATGGCAGCTGGTGCAGAGATGAACAATACATTGGATGAGTACTGGGACATAGTCAAAAAGACCTTTGCAACTGAAGGGGAGGCATACATTTTCTACAACAAGTATGTGAGGGACAAGGGTTTCAGTGTCAGAAAGCAGAAGGTGAGGCGTGCCAAGCACTCTGGACAACTATTGTTCTTGCGGTTCTTGTGTTCTCGAGAAGGCGAGCGAGAAACAAAATGGCCAGAGAAGGAGGATTTAAGTCGTAGACCAAGACCTCTAACTCGATGTGTTTGTCAAGCAAAACTGGATATTAGACTGGATCGAACCCGTGGTGTAAGGTATGTGAGTAATTTTGTGGACGAGCACAACCATTGTCTCGCCACAAAAGATGAAGTTCCATTCCTATGGTCTCATCGGAAATTGAGGGATTTCCAGAAAACAGAAATCATCAGCCTGTTCGTTTCGGCTTATTCGCTCGTATCTGGCTTATAATCCACTGCTTGAACAGTGTTTTTCTCTCACACCAAACCAGCCAGCAGTACTTTCAGGGGGCATTTACATATTTACCACTATTACGGATGGCATCTTACACTGTGTCACTGACACATAAGTCACTGACATGGCATTTCTTATACCACTCACATCGCCATGATGGTAAATATATACAAATTCCTACTTTCAGCCATGGCAATGGAAGCTGTTGGGATCCGCAAGCATGTCATTATGGATGTTCTTCGGTGCAGATATGGTGGGTACAGTGAAGTTGGCATCGTTAGGAAGAACATATGTGGCAAGAACCAAACATCAGGAAGCTAAGGGAGGGATCTAGCAACTTGTGACAGCATCAGCTTCCGCTAATTTGTACCATTGCTCTTCCGTTGTGTCTCCATGCTTTTTTTAGACCAAAGGCCTTAACCCTGCCTATATTGAAACCAAAAGCGTAACTGCTGGGATTGCCAGCTTACAGTATAGCGTTCAGACAGCATAACGAAACAAAGAACAGAGTTTAACTAACTACACACATGAGAATTTAGAAAAGTAAAGGAGGGAGCAGCTAAGCCATCTCTGCGATCTTCAGCGATCAGTCGATCATCACAAAACACCTCCAGAAAGACACCTCCAGCGAACCTCTAGTGTTAATGTGTCTCCATTCATTACAAACAAGCAGCCATCTCTCTCGTAGCACCGCATCAAAAGCCCCTCTGTGGTCGCTCTACTGCAACATTAACTCGAAGAGGGCGGCCGTCCAATTCCTATGGTTAATTAATAAGATAAGAATTAACATTAGTTCAGTGCTTCCATGTTTAGCTTTGTGAGACCCCGCTAAGTGGGCCGGTCTGATGGGATGGGCCAAATGACCGAGTACTGTAGCTCTAGGTGCCAGTAATGTAGCAGCGGGACTTTAGTCCCATACTGGAAGTTGAGGGGAAAACAAACCAACTTAAAAAGCCTGAGCTCTGGGAAAGAATTAATTCCGGTTTAAATTTTTTGCGTAAAGCGAGGACAAAAAAAATGCAAGAAAGTTAATTAAGAGGTGTGGTTTATTCGATTTGTAGCCGTCTTCCTAGGGGCTTGGACAGGTGACGTTGAGTCCTTAAGGTTGCCAGTTACTGTAGTAGCGGGACAAAGTAGCTACGGGGCTTTAGTCTCGTACTGTAAAGGGAAAACTAAAAAGTCTAAAGTCTGAACTCTGGGAGAGAATTAATGTTGGATATATTATGGACTTGGTCCATATAATATTTAATAAATCAAATAAAACTCTATGGTACGTAACATTAAGTGTTGTATGGTTTAATATCGTATGAGTTTTTGACTGAATGTTTACTCAGCTTATATGGTTGGAAATTATCCATCTTAATTGAGAAGCTGAGAAAATGACGAAGGGGTGCCACATGCGCGCGCCGCCGGTCGGGCCGAGGCCGAGGCCGAGGTCGTGGCCGTGGCGTGGCGAGGCGGGCGGGTGGGCGGCGAGCGGGCAGGCGTGGCCAAGTTTTGCCACTTAAATCCACATAATCACGGGAGTTTCTCTCCTTGATGGTGGAGGCGAATTGATTGCGCCAGTTACCGTCCCTTCCGCTTTCCGTCTCCTAGGATTCTCCGCTGCCTTTCTCCCTTCCGGTCGCCGCCATATATCCGGAGTCCTCCGTTAGTCCTTCTCCCTTCCGCAACCGCTCCCGAGAGAAACCACATCTCAGGAGCCCTTTGGCTTTACCGTCCTATAGCTCTGCTAGCACGGAGTAGCGGGAGAGCAGTTGCCTCCGGGACCCTCGTCCGCCTGAGAACCTTACCCGGGGTGAGCGACGATTAGATTTTTAGGGAGCGATCCGCGACTGCTTGTCCACATACGTCTTCTTCCTAGTGGTGATCGCTCTCGAAACCCGTCTTCTTCTCGGTAATTGCTTGCGGAACAGCAAGACATCTTCTTCCTGATGATCGTTCGTGGGACTGCACTGCGAACAACGTCCTGCATCGACTGTGGTCCACGACTTCGAGCAACGCACTATGTCGACTAGTGCGAATGGAGCTTCCGATGCCCTCGGCATGGGACCCTCCGCTGGGTACATTCTTATCTCTATAATTACGACATTTTGCGTTCTTACTATATCGATCTGTATGTCATGTCTGCATGCTGTAGCGTTCAGTAGAGATATACACATGCACATATATGCCGTCATGAACCTGCTGATGTTATATTTTTAGATTAAATTGACCATGAAAATACCTAAATTAATAACAAACCAAAAACCTAATGTTAGACAATTTTCTGTCAGTGGTTTTGCTGCTGCTTTGAAGCCAAATAATTTTGATGGCAAGAATTTCATGATATGGCGTGCCAAGATGATATTGTGGTTGACTGCGATGAACTGCTATCACGCCGCGCAGGGGAAGCCTGAAAAGTTTACTCCTGATGAGGAGCAAAAGTTCTTGGCTGCCGATAACCTGTTTCGAGGCGCCATGATTAGTACACTTCATCCTAAGTATGAGAAAAACTACATATCTTGCACATCAGACAAAGAGTTATGGGATGTCCTTGAGGCAAAGTTTGGAGTTTCTGATGCTGGTAGTGAGCTGTACCTTATGAAGCAGCTGTATGACTACAAAATGGTTGAAAACCGTTCTGTAGTCGAACAGGCTAATGAGATACAGGCACTAGCAAAGGAACTAGAACATTTCTCATATTTGTTGCCCGACAAGTTTGTGGTCGGCGGTATAATCGCTAAGCTGCCATATTCTTGGAGAGACTTTGCTACTTCTCTAAAGCACAAGAGACAAGAGTTTAGCATGGCTGAGCTTATTGGATCTCTTGATGTTGAGGAGAGGGCGAGAGCAAAAGACAACCGTGGAAAAGGAGTTGAGTCTTCCGCTACCAATATGGTGCAGAAGAAAAACTCATTTGCATCTCGTAATAAAAAGAAGAACATGCAAGAGAACAACAATGCAAAGCCTAAGCAGGCTGCTCAGTTTAAGAAGAAAAATAATAAGAAAGGTGGAGGTTGCTTTGTTTGCGGGAGTGATGAGCATTAGGCAAGTGCGTGCCTAAACCGCAAATATAAGCAAGAAAAGAAATCAGCAAACGTGGTGATTAACGAGACTGGAGGAGAAACATATGCATATGGTAATTCTTTATCTTTTGTTCTTTCAGTTTGTCTTTCACCCGAGTGGTAGATGGATAGCGGTGCTAATATTCATGTGTGTACTGATGTTTCTTTGTTTACTTCCTATCAGGCCGGTAGGACTGGAGCCTTACTGATGGGAAATAGTTCGCATGCGCGTGTTCTTGGTGCTGGTACGGTCGTTCTGAAGTTTACTTCGAGAAAGACGGTGCTATTAAAGAATATACAGCATGACCCCTCCATCAAGAAGAATCTTGTTATCGGTTCTCAAATGTGTCGCGATGGCTTTAAAATTGTGCTTGAATCCAATAAGTGTGTTGTGTCGAGACATGGAACATTTGTTGGAAAAGGTTATGATTGCGGAGGCTTGTTCCGCTTATCTTTGCTTGATGATGTGTGTAATAAAGTAGTGAACAATGTCAATGTTTCGGATGAGTCGATGGCATTCATGACTTTGTCACATTAATTTTGGCTGTCTCACGCGGCTTGCAAATCTGAATTTAATCCTGAAATTTAACTTAGTCAAAGATTCTAAGTGCCAGATGTGTGTGCAATCGAAGCAACCGCGTAAGCCTCACAAGGCTACTGAGGCAAGGAACTTGGCACCATTAGAACTCGTTCATTCTGATTTATGCGAAATGAATGGCGAATTGACTAAAGGCGGTAGACGATACCTCATGATATTTATAGATGATTGTACTAGATTTTGTTACGTGTATTTATTGAAAACTAAAGATGAAGCGTTGTATTATTTTAAAGTCTATAAAGCTGAGGTAGAAAATCAACTTGAGAAGAAAATCAAACGTTTACGGTCTGATCGCGGGGGAGAATATTTCTCAAATGAATTTTCTGAGTTTTGCGTGGTGCATGAAATTATTCATAAGAAGACACCACCATACTCACCACAGTCCAATGGGATTGCAGAGAGAGAACCACATTCTAACTGATTTGGTTAATGTCATGTTAGAGACTACGAGACTATCTAAGGAATGGTGGGGTGAGACTATAATGACATCATGTCATGTCCTGAATAGAGTGCCCACAAAGAACAAAGAAATCACACCATTCGAGGAATGGGAGAAGAAGAGATTAAATCTCTCTTACCTGCGAACTTAGGGTTGTTTGGCAAAGGTGAATGTGCCAATAAACAAAAAGCAAAAGCTTGTATCAAGGACTGTTGATTGTGTTTTTCTTGGTTATGATATTTACAGCGTGGGTTATAGATTTTTAATTATAAATTTTAGTGTTCCTGAGATGACTGTTGATACAATCATGGAATCTAGAGACGCTATATTTTTTAGAATGAGTTTTTCATGAAAAATGCACCTAGCACGACTGGTCATGAATTTATAATTCCCTATAAGCATAAAAATTTTACTCCAATAGAACAAACTGAGAAACCCTATATGCAAAATCCTGAGAAGGATGACACTACAGTCACTAGAAAAAGTAAGAGACAGACGACTGTAAAGTCTTTTGGTGATGACTATATTGTGTACCTTGTGGATGACACACCAACGACCATTGAAGAGGCATATTCCTCTCCTGATGTTGATTTATGGAAGAAAGCAGTACGGAGTGAGATAGATTCTGTTATGTCTAATGGAACTTGGGAAATAGTTGATTGTCCCTATGGGTGCAAGCCTATAGGGTGCAAATGGGTGTTCAAGAAAAAGCTTAGGCCTGATGATACTATCGAGAGGTACAAGGCAAGGCTTGTGGCCAAGAGTTATACTCAAAAGGAAGGTGGGGATTTCTTTGATACTTATTCACCGGTTGTCCGATTGACCACAATTCGAGTTTTGCTTTCCCTAGCAGCCTCTTATGGTCTTATCGTTCATCAAATGGACGTTAAGACAACTTTCCTAAACAGAGAGTTAGAGGAGAACATCTATATGGATCAGTCGTATGGGTTTGTAGCAAATGGTCAAGAAGGCAAGGTGTGTAAATTATTAAAGTCATTATATGGCCTAAAACAAGCTACTAAGCAGTGGCATGAGAAGTTCGATAAAACTTTAGCATCTGCTGGCTTTGTTGTGAATAAAGCTGACAAATGTGTGTACTATCGGTATGATGGGGGTGAAGGAGTCATTTTGTGCTTATATGTTGATGACATACTAATCTTTGGACCCAGCCTCAAAGTGATCGAGGAGGTGAAGGAATTTTTATCTAAAATTTTTTAGATGAACGATCTGGGAGAGGCTGATGTTATTCTTAATATCAAGCTTCTGAGAGAAGGTGATGGTGGGGTAACTCTGTTACAATCCCACTATGTGGAAAAGGTGCTGAGTCGCTTTGGGTTTAGTGACTGTGCACATACTCCTACACCTTATGACCCGAGTGTGCTATTGAGGAAAAATCGAAGAATAGCAAG